TCAAAAAAAAAAACAAAAAAACAATTTCCCATTGGAAGGTTTCGACCAGAGGAGTAACATAATCTGACTTCTGTTTTAACAAGATCACTCTAGATGCTGTATAGACACTGAGAGGAAGGCAAGGGTAAAAGCACAGTTAGGAGGCTATTGAAATAATTAAAGACAAGCGGGTATGGTGGCTTAAATCCTGGTGGGCAGCAGGGTTTGTAAGAAGTGGTGGAATTCTGGATGTACATTGAAGGTGGAGCCCACAGGATAACTGATAATTAGGTGTGGGTATGAGAGATAGAAAGGAATCAAGGATGATTTCAGGGATTTTGGCTTGAGCAGCCAGAAGTATGGAGTCACTATTAAACTGAGATGGGAAAGACTATGGTTGGAAAAAGTTTTGGGGAGATGAGTAGGAGTTCAGTTTTGGTCACCTTAAGTTTGTATAAAAGCCTAGAATGAAGAGAGTGTTCTGAGATGGAGAGATAGATAAATTCAAGAGTCAGCCTATAGATGATATTTAAAGCCTTGAGACTAAATGAGATTGCCAAAAAAATGAGCATGGATAGAAAAGAAAGAGGTACATGAACTGTGTCCTGTGCCACTCCAAAACTTTAGAGGTTGGGAAATGAAGAGTAACTCTGTGTTCTGTTATACCTTTCATTTTTAAAATTACATAATTTTTAATAATTACTGTCGGGATCCAGAGAATTCTAAAAGTGTGGGCATTGGCTCATCTCCAGGACTTATTTATTTTAAATTATTATTTTTTGTTATGAACATGCTTTTTAAAAGTTCATGTCTTAAAGTATTCAAGATGTACAACTGTGAGGAGGGAAGCATTACTGGACTATCACAGAAAATGAGTAAAAAATTCCATTTGTGAAGTTACCATTGGTGGGGATTCTGTTTATTCTCAATTGACAAACAGGACGCTAATTAGCATTTACTCTGTGATGGACTGATGGAAGTGACAATGAAATAACATTAGACATTTGAGTTGCGATAGTGTAGAAGTATATGAGTTTTGCCAAAATTAGTGGGAAGGCCATTCCATTGCCAAAGGAAGAGAACTATATCTAATGCCATCCTTCTCCTGTAGAGGAAGAGGAGGTGACATACACAGTCATTGATCAGTTCCAGCAGAAGTTTGGCGCTGCTGTAAGTACTGTCGTCAGTCATTCCCAGTATTGTCTGTATATAGGTATTGTGTCTGTGTCTCATAAATTTATTATAAGATCTTTGACATTTTCCCTATTAATTAAACAAAAATATTTAGGTACTTGCTATATGTCAGACATTGTTTTGAGATCTGGGGTAAAACAATAATCAAGACAAAGTTCCAGCCCTCAAGGAGTTTACATTCTAATGCAAGACAATAAACAAATGATTGTATTCCAGCTGACAATAAGTGGTATGAAGAAAAATAAAGCATGATATGCAGAATAGAGTGACAGGGAGGTCCTGTTTTATATGGAGTGGACAGAGAGAACTCCTCTGAGGAGGTCACATTGAAACAGAGACCTGAAGGAAGGGAGCTAGCCATGTGGATATCTAAGGGAAGAACCTAAAGGAGAATTAGCAAGTGCAAAGACACTGAGGCTGAAGCATTCCTGACTTGGATGGAGGAACAGCAGGGAGGTCAGTGTGGCAGGAACACGGTGAAGAACAGTGGTAGGAAATGGGGAGGGGCCCAGAGGCAGATCATGTAGGGCTTTCTACACATAATAATATAAGGATTTTGAGTTCGACTTGAGTGAGATGGCAAACCATTGGCAGTTTCAGAGAAGAGTCAGAAATTGTCTGACTTAACATTTTAAAAGGACCACTCTGGATGCTCTACTTAGGCAATTTCTTTATAACCATGTATTTATTTGAGAAGTGGCAGTATCTAATTATCCTAGAGTGTGGTTCACAAATGGGCTTCAGGAGAGTTGTTGAGCTTTCTGTGTAGGTGCAAGCCTATGTATGTGTGCACATGGATGCATTTTTAAAGGGAGAGTTAGTTATCAACAGATTCTTTTTTAAAACAGCATTATTCAGATATAATCCATATGCCGTACAGTTCACCTATTTAAAACATATAGTTCACTGGTTTTTAGTATATTCATAGAGTTGTACCTCCAACACCATAATGAAATTTAGAACATTTTTGATACCCAGAAAGAAACCCCACACATCTGAACCATCACTCTCAATCCCCCTTCAGCCCCTGACAACCACTAATCTACTTTCTGTCTCTATAAATTTGCCTATTCAGGACATTTCATATAAATTGGATCATACATATGTGTGGGGTTTTTTTGTAACTGACTTTGTTTACTTAGCATAATGTTTTCAAGATTCATCCACATTGTATCATGAATCAGTATTTTACTTCGTTTTATTGCCAAATAATATTCTATTGTATGGATGTACTACTTTTTTTTTTTTGAAACAGAGCCTCACTCTGTTGCCCTGAGTAGAGTACCCTTGTCAGCAAGCTCACAGCAACCTCAAACTCCTGGGCTCAAGCGATCCTCCTGCCTCAGCTTCCCCAGTAGCTGGGACTACAGGTGGATGCCAAGATGCCCAGCTAATTTTTCTATTTTTAGTAGAGACGGGGTCTCTTTCTTGCTCAGGCTGGTCTTGAACTCCTGAGCTCAAGCAATCCTCCCACCTTGGTCTCCCCAGAGTGCTAGGATTACAGGCGTGAGCCACCACGCCCCACCAATGTACTACATTTTATTTTTCCATTCACTACTTGATGGACATTTGGGTGGTTTCTACTTTTTGAGTATTATGAATAATGCTGCCATGAACATTCATATACAAGTTTTTGTATTAACATATGTTTTTATTTCTCTTAGATAGATATCTAGGAGTGAAATTGCTAGGTTGTATGGTAACTCTATGTTTAACTTTTGGAGGAATGGCCAGACTGTTTTCCAAAGCTGCTGTACCATTTTACATTTCTACCAGCAGTGTATTAGAGTTCCACTTTCTCCACATCTTTGCCAACATTCTTATTATCTGTCATTTTGATGATAGCCATTACATTGTGGTTTTGATTTCTACTTCCCTGATGGCTAATGATGATGAACATTTTGCCACGAACTTACTGGTCATTTGTGTAACTTCTTTGGAAAAATGTCTACTTAGATCCTTTGCCTATTTTTAGTTGAGTTATGATAATTGTTTTTATCACTGAGTTGTAAGAATTCTTTATATATCACAGATTCTTTATAGGGTCCATGACAACAACAATTAAAAATGAGTAAGAACTTTTGCTCTAGAATTTTGAGGAGGTAGTTGGGAATTTTTTTTTTTTTTTTTTTTTTTTTCTTTTTCTTTTATTTCAGCATATTATGGGGGTACAGATATTTAGGTTATGTATGTTGCCCTTGGTCCCCCCCGCCAAGTCCATGTTTCAAATATGTCCATCCTTCGGGTGGTGCGCATTGCACTCCTTGTGTATACAAATACCTGTCCCCTCCTCCCTCCTCCCCCCTCCCCCCTGCCCAACATCCAATAGATGTTATTCTTATATGTGCATTTATGTGGGAATTCTTATCAGTAGTGAAATATAGCTTTTGCTGCCAGTTCTGCAGCCTTCTTATTGTTGATTGCAGATGAAACTCAAATACAGTCCCCTTTTCACATCATTGGTGAGAGATACTCAGAATGTAGAACTCTTTATGCTCTCTAAAGAAAGACAGTGCTAGTGTGAATTGCTATGCCATTCTATTTTCAAGTAATCTACCTACCTATAAAATGGGGATAATCTTATATCATGTAGATATTTTTATGAATTATGGGTTAAGGATTTTAGAATTATATAATATTTTGAAATAGGATGAGATTATAGATAATCAAAGTACAAGAGGGTATTCCTGGGGTACTACTATTTCAGTTTTAAATAACTTAATGAATCCAAGGCTTTAAGGGACCTATCAGGTCCTTGTTTCTGTCATTCTGAATAGTAGACACAGTGAGACTTAGCTGCAACATGTATTCCTTTCAGATACAATAAATTGCCCTGTGTTAGGGGCATGCCATAAATTTGCATGAGGAATCTTGCCATAAAGATTAGAATTCTTTCTTGGAAGCATCAATGGTAACAAAAAGTGCCTGAGTTTTCAACTCTTATTAGCATTTGGGGTATGAGTGATTTATTTTCCAGTTGTGAAATACTTTTGATAAAACTAAAAACAGAATCAGAAGTGTCAAGTGGTGATTTATATGTGTACGTGAAACAGACTTTGTGTTTTAGATTATTCAAATTTTGTAAGTTTAAAAAATATTCACTTTTTTAAATGACTGGTCATTTTACTTGTGCTATTCGTGGTGTTATAATGCCAACAATTATTCCTTGGAGCATTTTCCTTTTCTTCCTTTTCTTACCAGATGTTCCACATCAAAAAGCAGAGTGTCCTGAGTGTGGCAGCAGAAGGAGCTAATGTGTGTCGTCATGGGAAACTGTGTTGGCTTCAGGTAAAAGTTGTTTCTGTTTTTTGTTTTTTGACACAGGGTCTTGCTCTGTCACCCAGGCTGGAGTGCAGTGGCACTCCTGGGCTCAACTGATCCTGCTGCCTTAGCCTCCCAATTAGCCAGTACTGCAGGTACATACCACCATACCTGGCTAATTTTTAATTTTTTTTTAAAGATGGGATCTCACTGTGTTGCCCAGGCTGAACTCAAACTGTTGGCCTCAAGCAATCATCCCATCTTAGCCTCCCAAAGTACTGGGATTATAGGCGTGAGCCACTTTGCTGGCCTAGATTTTTGAAAACTTTTTATTTTTATTTACTTACTTATTTTGTTTTTTTGAGACAGAGTCTTACTCTGTTGCCTGGGCTAGAGTACCGTGGCATCAGCAGCGTAGCTCTCAGCAACCTCAAACTCCTGGGCTCAAGCAATCCTCCTGCTTTAGGCTCCCGAGTAGCTGGGACTATAGACATGCACCACCATGCCTGGCTAATTTTTTCTATATATATATATTTTTTTTAGTTGTCCAGATCATTTTTTTCTATTATTTAGTAGAGACGGGGTCTCACTCTTGTTCAGGCTGGTCTCGAACTCCTGACCTTGAGCAATCCACCCGCCTCGGCCTCCCAGAGTGCTAGGATTACAGGCGTGAGCCACCGCGCCCGGCCCCAAATTTTTATTTTTAAATAATTATAGAGGGGCGAAGGTGGGAAGAGGGTGAGGGAGCAAAAATTACCTATCCTGTACAATACTATTTGGGTGATGAGCACACTAAAAGCCCTGAATTCCTCACCATACAATTCATCCATGCAACAAAAAACTATTTCTACAAAAAAAATAAAGTAAAATTTTTCCTGATAAACAAATGGTATCATCAGTTTGATGCTATCAGTATATTCTACCAAATTTTTGGAAAGAAATTATAAATTCACTGGTAGATTTATTCTTAATTGTCTTCTTTCTGTCAACTCAGTGTCATTGTTCTGTAACTTGTTTGGAATGTTCTTCATTCTGGTACTCAATTTATTCTTTTCAAAAGAAAGAAAAGATTCACTTTTTCACCATCATTGCTGTCTGACAGGCTCTAATTGAGGTCTTCTTTCCCACCTCTGTTCTATCACCTTAGATATATGAAGAGTTTATTCTCTCTTCTTCTAGGGTGGTAGCTTTCCACAGCAAGTTTCTATCACATCATTTTTGTTTTTCTGGACCTGGGAGATGTCAGTTGAGGGTCCCCATTATATCAAAAGAAGCTTGTGGTGAGCCTCAAATAGCTAGAGGATGGTTAGCCACTTTTGGATTTAACCCAGCAGCATCGGTATTTAAGGGTGGTCAAGAGAACACACTGAATCCCCAGTCAGTGTCTTCTATGCTTTGACTCAGGACCTACTGCCACTCACTGAGAGAATATTTTCTGTTAGAGTTGGCAATCTGTCCTCTTGAACTCCTCCCTCTGGAATGTTTACCTTCTCCAAGGGAAAGGAATGGAGGTGTCCGAGTCTAGTTTTGCTCAAGGATTAAATTGCCTCTCTCTTGTTCTGTGTACTTCCTTGATAAACCTTAGTTTTTAGATGACTAGATTTGAGTTAGCAGTACAGTCACAAATAACTTTTTATTTTTTTCGAGACAGGGTCTCTCTCAGTTGCCCAGGCTAGAGTGCAGTGGCGTCATCAAAGCTCATTGCAGCCTCAAACTCCTGGGCTAAAGTGATCCTCCTGCCTCAGCCTCCTGAGTAGCTGGGACTATAGACATGTGCCACCACACCCAGCTAATTTTTCTATTTTTTGTAGAGACAGGGTCTCACTATGTGGCCCAGGCTGGTCTCGAACTCCTGGCCTCAAACAATCCTCCTGCCTCGGCTTCCCAAAGTGCTAGGATTACAGCTGTGAGCCACCACGCCCAGCCACAAATAACTTAAAACAAACCAAAACTTCTGTCTACTGAAACAAAAGCATAGACTTTCTGGTAATTCAGGTCTGGGCAGTCCTAGGTTATTTCCTAATTTGTCCCCTTTGGTTTTCTAGGTACCATAGGGGATATCCAGTTGGTTATAGCTGTCCTTTTTGTGACTGGAAGCAAATTAATGGGCACATTTTCCCCAACCAGGTCCTTGGGCTTGTGTGTTTAAACCCTCACAAATAATGGTATATATTTTATGAGGAAAGAAAAATCCCATTACTTTTTTTTTTTTTAAGGGCAGGATTGGCTAGGTGAAGTGGCTCATGCCTGTAATCCTAGCACTCTCACTTGAGGAGTTTGAGACCAGCCTGAGCAAGAGCGAGACCCCGTCTCTACTAAAAACAGAAAAATTAGCTTGGCTTGGTGGGGAGCGCCTGTAGTCCCAGCTACTCAGGAGGCTGAGGATCACTTGAGCCCAGGAGTTTGAAGTTGCAGTGAGCTACAGCGATGCCACTGCACTCTACCCAGGGGACAGAGTGAGACTCTGTCTCAAAAAAAAAAAAGAGACAGGATCATGCTCTGTCACCCAGTCTGGAGTCCAATAGCATAGTCATACCTCACTACAGCCTCAAACTCCTGGGCTCAATTGATCCTCCCTGCCTCAGCTTCCCGTCTTGCTGGGACTACAGGCGTGTGCCACCATGCCTGCCTAATTTTTTTTTTTTTTTTAGAGACGGGGTCTCACTGTGTTGCTCAAGCTGGTCTCAAACTCCTGGCCTCAAGTGATCCTCCTGTGTCACCCTTCCAAAAATCCTGGGATTACAGTATTAAGCCACTGTGCCCAGCCTTTTAGAATGTAACAACAGGATTGTTAAAACAAAGTAATACTTTACAGTTTACAAAGCACTTTGACAAACATTATTTCATTTACAGAGGCAATTTTAACATGTCAAAATGTTGTTTCTGCTATATTCCTGTTTTTAATAACATGCTTATTGCTTTCTCTTGATTTCTTCAGTTTTATAAATTATGTATTAACTTCTATTATCGTGAATTAAGATTTTGCTCCTTTGTAGGACTCATGCCTTCTTAGGTCTTCCCAATTTACTTGTGTCACAATTTTTGGTTAAGACAGAATTCGGGCTATCTATTATTTTGATCATGTAAGCCAAGAAGAATTGTTTCTTTTTTTGAACAACTTTCTGTTTTTCACAGAATTAGTAATTGCCTCATTTTATTAGCTTCGTTTCTTTGCACCTATGACGAAGCCTTCCCACCTCTTCAAGAATTCCATACAATTTTTTCACATGCTTAAATCTATCCTGCTAAATTATGTTGCATTTTTGTCTTGAAGCCATCTTTCCCGGAGCCCTCTACTCGCCTGTTCCACTGTAGGTTGATGTTCTTAAGCCCGGAAGCTACAAGGGAAGATGTCTAGACTAGAAGCTCACAATTCAGTGTGCAGACTTTCATTTTTTGCTCCTCTACTGAACCCTTACCCTTCTCTTATGTTCCTGACCCCAGAGCCTCTCTGGTTGGATTTATCCAGAGAATGTATGTTCTGTCCTCAGTGGGAAGGGAATGAGTGAGGTTAACAGGGGGGCTTACTTCGCCTTACACAGACCTTTAGCCCGTCCTCCCTGTTTCCATCTCCTCACTTTTCTTAGTATTTGGCACCTTTAATTCCTGAACCTTTATTTTGTTTCTTTGTTTTGTTTTGCCTAATCTGCTTCCTTTCTATCCATGTTTGCTACAGCTTTTCTTAACTTTATTTAAATATTTAATCTTCATCTGTGGTCAAATATTTTCACATATAATAATGTCTTAAGATGTAGGTGGCAAATATTAAGAGTCATGCAGTTTTTTATATCCTTTGGCCCACTTCTCAGGGCCACTTTTAGGAATCTACCATAAATAATTCAAAATATGAAGAAAAAACATATGCAAGAACCTATTTATCTGGGCATGATTTTAAATAGTTAATGATAGATGTTACAATACATTTGATAGATCTTATACAGCTGTCAAAAATTGATGATGAGAGCAATATGGAAAAATGTTTGAAAGTTTATGAGTGAAAAAGCAGGATATAAATTTGAATGCATGTTGTTAAAGCCATATACAGTTTTAGCATATGGATGGCATACATTGATTCACTGAAGAAATATATGACAGCCATCTATTTGTTCAGCTCTGTTCTAGCTGTTAAATAGTGGTGTTTGTGGTGAACCCTACATAATCTCTTCTACCATAGAGTTTACAGCCTAGTAGAGAATTGTTTTCCAGACATTTGTAATGTATCTATTCAATTTTTATAATTAAAAAAGCAGGGGGAAAAAGCAGGGATTCACTTTTAGTTGTCAAATTCTAGCAAAAAATATGAAAGTTTTGAGAATAGGTGCCAGGTAAGTCTGGCAATTGTAGCTATAACAACAGTTCATCCTAGCACTCTGGGAGGCCGAGGCGAGTGGATCGTTTGAGCTCAGGAGTTCAACACCAGTCTCAGCAAGAGCAAGACCCCGTCTCTACTAAAAATAGAAAGAAATTAGCTGGACAACTAAAAATATATAGAAAAATTTAGCCGGGTATGGTGGCGCATGCCTGTAGTCCCAGCTACTTGGGAGGCTGAGGCAGGAGGATTGCTTGAGCCCAGGAGTTTGAGGTTGCTGTGAGCTAGGCTGACTCCAAGGCACTCTACTTAGGGCAACAGAGTGAGACTCTGTCTCAAAAAAAAAAGAAAAAAAAAACAGTTCAGCTCCTGAAATAACAAAAATGGCGTCAGACTTCACAGGGCTGGCTTTTTAGACCCATTTGGATCTTTTTTGCCTTCATTCTCTGCCTTGGTAGGTCATCCAGCTATGCTGCTTTTGTGATTTTTATGATTAGAAACAATCTAGAATTCTTATATAAAATTGATCTGTAAAATAGTGTTGAATGTTTGACATCCTAACGTTTGTGCCAGTATATTTGTTGCCTGTTTTAAACCACTAGAAGGCAGAGATCTCCCCTTATGTGTAATTTTATGTAACACTTAACACAATCATGCATATTATGGAACTCAGAGAAGTAGCATTTCATGTTAATAACAATGAGATGCTATTCATTTACCTTAAACCAGTGATCCCTGGAGTATTAGAGTTAGAGATACAGGGGGAAAAAATTTTTTTTCTTGTCTCTACTCTTTACTCAACACAGAAAAATTCTGACCCCAAATGTGTGGAGGTTGTTTCCCCACACACCAAGCATGCAATTCTGCTGTATATTCTCTACTAGACACCAGCTTAGTGTCCTTTAATTCAATTCAGTTCTGACACTGTTTACCTAGAGATAGTGTCAGACTCCACAGGTTGAGGGCTCAGTCCCATAAGACTGCCCCCTACTTCAGATGCCAATGTTTCTTTCTTTCTTTTTTTTTTTTTTTGAGACAGTCTTACTCTGTCACCTGAGCTAGAGTGCTGTGGCATCTTGCTGCCTCAGCCTCCCAGGTAGCTGGGATTACAGGCACATGCCTGTAATCCCAGCTAACTTTTCTATTTTTAGTGGAGATGGGGTCTTGCTCTTGCTCAGGCTGGTCTCGAACTCCTCAGCTCAAGCGATCCTCCTGCCTTGGCCTCTCAGAGTGCTAGGATTACAGGCGTTAGCCACCGCACCTGGCCAGTTGCCAATGTTTCTGACCAACCAGCTATAAATTGGGGTTCCCATGACCACCTCCTCTCATTGATTTAATTTGCTAGAGCAGCTCACCGAACTCAGGGAAACACTTTACTTACATTTACCCACTTCTTATTATAAAGAATATTACAAAGGATATAAATGAACTGCCAGATGGAAGAGATGCATAGGGTGAGGAATGGGAGAAGGGGCTTACCACCCTCTAGGAACCTCCACATGCTCAGCTATCCAGAAGCCCTCTGAACTCAGTCCTTTGGAGGTTTTATGGAAGCTTCCTTATGTAGGCATGATCGATTACATCATTAGCCATTAGGGATCAACTTGACCTTCAGCCTTTTCCCTTCCCTGGAATTTGGGGAGTAGGGATGAGTCTCAACCCTCTAATCCTGCTGTGGGTTTTTCCTCTGACCAGCCCTCATCCTGAAGCTATCTAGGGGCCCCCAACCACCAGCCATCTCATTAGCATACAAAAAACACTCTTATCATTTCCATGATTCCAAGGGTTTTTAGGAGCTTTGTGTCAGGAAACCGGGAGGAAGACCAAATATGTATCTCAGAGTATCGCAATTAGAATGCCATAGGTGAAACTGGTAAAACGGTAAAGTTCCGACTATAAAAAGTGAAAGTCTAAGTCATCAGCTTATCCTTTGCTTTCCTTTTGAAAATCACAGTGATTGTGTCTTTTGTTTTACTTAAGATTATTTTAAACCTTTTTCTCCTAAGAATCATTGAGTGCCTATTATTCACTTAAATGTGAAGATGTTAAATATTTTATTGCACGTCTTTTATTCTTGATTCCCAGATCCCTTCCCCTAGTTCTTCCTTATCCTATGGTATGTATGTCTGGATGGTCTATTGTAGGTGGCCACAAATAGCCGAGTTTACTTATTTGACATTTTCCTTCTGGGAAGTCGTGCTTTCAACAACGGACTTCAGATGATATTAGAAGACAAGAGAATTTTGAAGGTAAGTGTGTAAGCTGATTCCTCCCTTGTAAGATTATCAGCCAGGTTCTAATTACTCTGTCTCCTTCTGATTCCTTAGGTTATTCATGATTGTCGTTGGCTTTCCGATTGCCTCTCTCACCAGTATGGAATTTTGCTGAATAATGTCTTTGACACACAGGTACATGAAGGGAAATGCTGGATTCAAACCAGTACACATAGCTCCTGTAGAAAATAGGCCTCATCTGATGAGCGATTGAAAGTCGTCTTCTTTTTTTAGGTGCCCCATTCCTGCCCAATTCTTATGTAAGATGTTTGTATAATATGATATGTAAGAACATTGGTATACTATAAAAGCACTGTAGGAAAGTTACTTAAAACTATTTAGGAATGTGTTTTCCTCATTTTGCTCCAGAATTTGTCAAGTAAGAAGCAAGGTCTTCATAGCATTCAGAAACTCGAGCAATTCGGGGATCATTCAGAAGTCTGACAGGGGAGATTTTAGTGTAAGATGAATAATCATATCTCTGCCTTTACCATGTATGTATCAATTAAGGCAAGGTGGCATCTAGCTCAGGGGTACAGGTTGTTCTGGATATGCCCCCCAAAAAACCTATTCTGGCCCAAAACAGCCTGAAGAGATGTGATTTGTCTCTCATCTAAGGGACCTTAGAGAAATGAGAAATCCCTAGACTCTAGTAACTCTTTGAGCTGATCTGGGTTTCTGGTTTGGCTGTGGGAGCAGTAAAACTATTAGTTCTCCTGACATTTTCTTTAAGTTCTTCTAGGTTTATGCCAGTGAAAGGGATATCTTGAATGCATAGCCTAGAGTCTTTAGAGAGGGAATGAATGAATTAGCCAATTATGTTTGAGCAGCAATTCCTAAAATTCAGTTTTGTGTTACTATATGTGGTTCACTTTTGCTCTTTGTTTATCTACTTATAATAGACTTTGACATTTCTCCTGTTTACATGTTCCTTTGTGCCTCCTTTCAGGATCTTTCGTTATATAGAAATTGCTTGTATGCTTACCCCAAAATATAAGAGAATTGCTCATTTTTTCATTGAGGCTGATAGGCTTCTTGATTAAATCTATTGTCTAATGAGGACTTTGGCACATTTTTCCATGTTTTTCTTTTCATATTTCCATTGTCTAAGAAGCAGGAAATCAGAATTTGACCAATTTGGTTTTCTTTAACATACTGTATTAGTTTCCTATTCTGCTGTAACAAATAACCACAAATTTAGTGGCCTAATACTGTTTTGGAGGTTAGAAGTCTCAAACCACTTTCACTGGGCTAAAGTCAAGGTGTCAGCAGGGCTGGTTTCTCCTGGAGGCTCTGAAGAGAAAGATCATTTCCTTGGCTTTTTCAGTTTCTAACAGCCACTTATATTCCTTCGCTTGTGGCCTCTTCCTCCATTTTCAAAGTGCATCACTTTAATTTCAGCTTCCATTATCGCATCACTTTCTCCTCTGATTATGTAAAATCTACCTCTGCCTCCCTCTTAAAAGAACACTTGTGATTACATTTAGGCCCTACCTAGATAATTCAGGATAATCTCCTTATCTCAAGATCCTTAACTTAGTGACAGCTACAAAGTCCCTTTTGCCATGGATGATAACATTCACAGGTTCCAGGGATTAGTATATCTTTGGGGGCCATTATTTAGCCTACCACACACAAATAATTATTGCAATTCTTAATTTTATTAGCTTTCCTTACCAAAACTTTATCAGAGCTGCTAATAGGTAATAAAAATAATTCTTGAATTTTATCTTCCTTTCCTATTAACCAGAAGCACCAAAGAGTAATAAATTACCATTAATGCAGACAAATAAAAGAAGTAGAAAAGAAAGTAGACAAGGACATATTAAAGTTGTATTATTTTTTTCCCTTTTTAAAAATATTTTTCAGAATAAGTTGACTGAACAACTTTAAATTTCCTATTGGCATTGTCTATCATGTAGGTCCTTGGGGAAAATAGTGTTTAAAGAATTGTCTCTAAATATATTTCTGCCATGAGATAGATTTCTGTATATATTCAACTGTTCTGTTTGTCTTTTTTTAATACCATAGGTAGCAGATGTCCTTCAATTTTCCATGGAAACAGGTGGCTTTCTTCCAAACTGCATCAGTACTTTGCAGGAGAGTTTAATCAGACACCTTAAAGTAGCCCCTAAATATCTCTCCTTTCTAGAGGAGAGACAAAAACTGATTCAGGTGAGTATTAAAAGATGTCCCATATGATATTAATTTTTTTTTTCTTGAGACAGAGTCTCATTCTGTTACCCTGAGTGGAGTACCCTGGTGTCAGCAACCTCAAACTCCTGGGCTCAAGTGATCCTCTTGTCTCAGCCTCCCAAGTAGCTGGGACTACATGTATGCACCACCAAACCCAACTAATTTTTCTATTTTTTGTAGAGATGGGGTCTCACTCTTGTTCAGGCTGGTCTCGAACTCCTGAGCTCAAGCAATCCTCACACGAGTGCTAGGATTACAGGTGTGAGCCACAAAGCCCTGACTGATACTAATTTTTTCAAGTGTTTTCTGAACAGGATCATCAGCCTATTACATAGAGAAATGACAGCTGCCATATAATTACAAGCATTGCCTAAAATCTTAGTTGTGCCAAATGAGAACAGTTTGTGGTCTAAGTGGGTAAAAGCCAGGATCCAGATTTGTTGGTTATCAATTAAAAGTACTTTGGGCCAGGTACAATGGTTTACGCCTATAATCCTAAAGCAATTTGGGAGGCTAAGGTAGGAGGATCACTTGAGGCCATGAGTTTGAGACCAGCCTGAGCAACATAATGAGATCCTGTCTCTACAAAAAATTGAAAAATTGGCTGGGCGTGGTAGTGCATGCCTGTAGTCCCAGTTACTGCAGAGGCTGAAGGAGGATCAGTTGAGTCCAGGAGTTTGAGGTTGCAGTGAGCTAGGCTAATGCCCTGTGCCCTAGCCCAGGCAACAGAGTGAGACCCTATCTCAAAAAACAAACAAAACTACTCTGAAATAAATTTTTAAGTTGGGGCAAGGGGGGAATTTTTGTGGTAATTTGGTTTAAGGCAATGAAACCAAAATCATCCCATTTATTTCTCAAAAAAAATATTAGCTCCTAATATCCTTGACTGTATTGACTACAACTTTGTTCATGTCATGAAGTCTGTTGCCTCCAGCTTTGAATGAGAAGTCCTGATTGATTGACGTACCTCTCCCCTTAGAGGTGTGTGTGCGTGTGTGTGTGTGTGCGCGCGCACTTATAAGGCTATCAATTGTATGAAAGTAGAAGGTAATAATAGAAGAAAATGACAGTGTTTTAAATTAAGCAACCCTTAAACAGTTATTTTCTTTAAAGTCTTGCTTACTATTCGGAGAAAATTATTTTTTTGTCCCTAGGAAAATCCAGAAGTATGGTTCACACGACCCCTTTTACCCTCTTTACTGAAAATTTTGGCCCTGGAAGCTACCTATCTGCTACCCCTTCGCTTGGTACTCCTGGATGAGATGATGTCTGACCTAACCACCCTGGTGGATGGGTACCTAAATACCTATCGAGAAGGGTCTGCAGACCGGCTTGGAGGCATAGAGGTAAGTGTAGCTCTTTGTGGGTGTGTCTTTGGGACCTCCTTTCTGCCTTCTTCCTCATGGAGAACAGGCACAGTGATACCCTCTCTTCACAGCTGCAGCAACTTTTGTGGGGCAGACTTGGTGATAAATATTTTTGAAGGGGCTACAGCTTGGGCTTGATCCATCCCCTTGAGCACCTTTTCACAATATTAAGTTATGTTTCCAAGAAATACTTCTGTCAAAGAATGGGTAAATTTAATATTTCATTAGTTCTTTTCTGCAGCCAGAGGAATATAAGAAAATTACAGACTAGGAATTGGCAAACTGTTTCCCAAATTTAGACCCATGGCCTAAATTTGTACAACTCATGAGCTAAGAACAGTTTTCACATTTTTAAAGGATTGTGAAAAAAAAAGAAGAAGTAGTAGTCAGGGTGAGGTGGCTCATACATATAATCCCAGCACTTTGGGAGGCTGAGGTGGGAGGATTGCTTGAGGCCAGGAGTTCAGGATCAGCCTGGGCAACATGAGGTGTCCCCCGCCATCTATTAAAAAAAAAAAAAATCAGCCGGGCAAGGTGGCATGCCTGTAATCCCACCTACTTGGGAGGCTGAGACAAGAGGATCATTTGAGCCCAGGAGTTCAAGGTTATGGTGAGCTATGATTATGTCACCGCACTCCAGCCTGGGTGACAGAGTGAGACCCTGTCTCTAAAAAGAAAAAGAAAAGAAGAAGAAGAAAAAAAAGAAGTAGCATATGAGACCGAGTTCATTTGTGGCTCACAAAGCCAAAATATTTACTATTTGACCCTTTACAGAAAAAGTTTTCCAGTTGCTGCCATAAACCATTCACACTTATGAATATAGATACAAAATTCTAAATAAAATAGTAGCATTTTTCATATGAACCCAACTTAGATGTGTTATTTTTTCTTAATGTGTCACTGGATTCTAGTTGCAAGCATGGTTAAACATTAGAAAATTCTCCATTTTATTAGAGCCAAGAAAGTCATATGATTATCTCATAAATACTGAACTTTTAAAAATCATGTTCAGCTAGATGCACTGGCTCATGCCTGTAATCCTAGCACTCTGGGAGGTTGAGGCAGGAGGATCACTTGAGGTCAGGAGTTTGAGACCAGCCTGAGCAAGAACAAGACCCCGTCTCCACTAAAAATAGAAAAAAAAATTAGCTGGGCAACTAAAAATAAGTTTTGGTGTATATATATACAGCGGTTAGAAAT